GGGTGCAGGGTTGGGGTGTACAGAGACACTGCCAGCTGCACCTCGGCCTGACTAGGGCTGGTTGGAACGCAGGCTCCAGGTCAGGCTGTTTGGGTTTAAATTCTTGGTCAAGGCCAGCGCCACGGCTCAATAGGCTAATCCTCCACCTGCAGCGCTGGCACACCGGGCTCTAGTCCCAGTCGGGGTGCCGGTCCTGTCCCTGCTGCCCCACTTCCAGGCCAGCTCTCTGCTGTGGCCCGGGAAGGCAGTGGAGGATGGCCCAAGTGCTTGGGCCCTGCACCCCATGGGAGACCAGGAGGAAGCACCTGGCTCCTGGCTTTGGATCGGCACAGTGTTGGCCGCGGCGGCCATTGGAGGGTGAACCAACGGCAAAGGAAGACCTTTCTCCCTGTCTCTCTCTCTCACTGTCCACTCTGCCTGTCAAAAAAAAAAAAAATTCTTGGTCAAAGGTATATAGCAAAGTTCTCAACATCTTATGCCTCGGGCTTCCTTCCTCATCTATAAAATGGGCACAGTCGTAGCATCCGCCACCTAGGGCTTCCGTGAGGATTAAATAAACTCCTCCGTGTGAGGCACTCAGACTCCCGGCGAGCAGTGGGAGCCCCGCGGACGCCGACTGCTGCCCTCCCCTCCTGTGCCTTCCCGGGAAGCCAAGGAGAATCTCCGGGCTCCCACCTCTTTCAGAGACGAGGACTGCTGGATTCTCGGGCTCTGTGGTTTGTTGGGGGCTGGGAGGGAGTTAGGGGGCACCTGATGGAAGGGGCCGGGCGTGACCCTCACAGGAGCAGCGGCAGGGACCGGGGTTGGCAAACCCCGTGGAGGAGCAGGGAGCCGAGCAGGGCTGCAGGTGCGGGAGGGATTGCCAAGCGTGCTGGTTCTCAGGGGGAGGAGCCGGCGGCAGCAGAGCGTCGTGGGGAGGGTTTGAGCCCCGGGGTTGAAATGCTGACCACGCCACAGTGTTTGGGAGGACACCACTGAGTCGCGTTTGGTCCTTAGGGGTGTGGACAGCGGCCCGCCGGGTAGCACATTTTACAGGCAGGTGGGGTGCAGGCTGGGGGCGGGAGCAGTGTCCCGGGTGAGAGCCGTGTGCAGCAGGAGCAGGAGGAATGCGTGCTGCTCCCCCCCCACCCCCCGGGGAGATAGCAAGGCGGCCGCCAGCACTGCGGGCAGGGGCAGGGGAAGGCCCTCTCCCTCCAGGATCGCCCAGCGTCCACTGAGCTGGAAGCAGGGCCCAGGCTGGACCGAGGGGCTCAGAAGAGGCAGCTCCCAAGTTGTCTTGAAGGGTGAGGCAGAGTCAACAGCAACATTGACATCTGGCGGCCGACAGGTTTCCCAGTGGGCAGGGGACACGGTGGGTCTGCAAGGGAGTGTACACAGTGGGTATACACCCTGTGTGTGAAAGTGGCCGTGCAGGGAGGACAGAATGCGTATGGAGAAGAGAGTGGTGGCAAAAAAAAAAAATTCACATACTTGTGTGTTTTCGTGTGTATGCACACGTGTGTGCGCGTGCCTGGGTGCTCGGACAGGCGTGTGTGTGTTGCGGACACGAGGAGGAGGCTGAACAAGGCCACCCCGCCTGGGACCGCCGTCCCTGCTGCTCTGTTCCGTTGTCTTCCTCATTCTCTTCCATCTCTGGAGAGAGAGGACCATGGTCTGGTCGTTGGGTCTTGTGGCTCCGGGTCAGGATGCCCGTCTCTTCCCTGTCCCGTGAAGCTGTGTCCTTCCTCCCAGACTGAGCCGTGAGCGGCTGCCAGTGGACAGGTGCCAGTGGACAGGACTGTGTGGCCGTTGCCGTCCTATTCCTCCTGCACAGGGGCCCTGCCCCTCCAGTGCCTGCTAAGGGGCGACCGCCTGTCTGCGTGGATCTGCGGGTCCAGCTAATAAGCACCATCCAGGCCTGGGATCCTGGGGCCGAGCCTGGGCGGGGCTTCTTGCTGGCCAGGACCCCCTGTTGGCTTAGAGACCCCCAGGGCAGGGGAGGGCCCCTGACTTCGGAGAGGCAGAGGTGGTAATTCAGATGGTTGGCGACTCCAGTGTGTCTCAGTCTGGCTGCCTGCAGCCTCCATACCAGGGACAACACCACCACCAGGAAGCCACCTGGATTGGGGACTTGCTCACGAATGATTTGAGGGCCAGTGTGGTGCTAGGAGGAGCACCGGGCATCGGCTTGAAGCCTTGGAAATGCTACTTTGTGGGCCTTAGTTTTCCCTTCTGCGGGATGGGTGCAAGCACGCCCGGCTGAGTAACACTGAAGAGGTTGCTGTGTTCCCCATCACAGGGGACTCGAAGGCACCTCATCAGGGGAATGAGTCCCCAGAGCCCCCTTTGAAGGCTCTCCTCTCTTGTTCCTGGGGTGAGGGGTGGCTGCACTGCTGAGGTAGGGCTACCATCCCCCCACTGTGGGCCAACCCCAAGAGCCAGACTCGGCAGTCCCCAGACCTCCCTGCCTTCTGGGTGGTGTTGGGCCAGTGCATCTCTCTGGGCCTCACTGCCATCACTGTGCGACTCCAGTGATGGCTGCAGGCTCAGCGCCGGTGTGCCGGGAAGTGCAGCACAAAGGAGGCGTTCAGAACGCTAGGTGTTTGGGGTCTGGAGGGGCAAAGGCCTCCAGTCACCTGGGAACCAGCGTCCGGCGCGACAGCCGTGGAGCTGCTGGCTATCCCAGGGAGGCGGCTGAGGCAGCCCCAGCAGACGGGGCCGCCCCTGCGCCAGGCGCTGTCCGTGGTGCTGAACACAGCTCGGTCTCTCTGCCGGGCTGTTGGAGACCACACCAGCATCTGGTACGCAGTGAGGAAGGGTGGTGCTCGTGGCCAGGGCAGCCCCCAGACCCCTCCGCCCACCTCCTCCAAGGCACCTTCCGGCCTCACCATTCTCGCCGCCCACCCGCGCCCCCAGATCCCACCTGTTTGGAATCCTGGGCTCCTGGGATGGTTTCTTACCATCTCGCCTTTGTATCCAGGCCTGGTCTTCTGACAGGATCATGAGTTCTGTGGTCAGGGCGTCTGTGCTGAGGAAAATAGGCTCTGCCCTCTGATTAATTGGGGGCGTCGTGGCCCCTGCCTTCTGCCCTGGCTCTCCTGGGTCCGTGATCAGCTCCCCTCCCTCTCCTGCCCCTCCGCAGGCACTTGGCCGTGGCTTTCCTCTGGGAGGTCTGACCTTCTCTCTCTCACCTCTGCCTGCAAATGCATAGCTTTGGGTGATTGATTTACTCATTTCCAACAGCCGGGCAGAGGCCAGAGCACTTGCAGTCAGCACTGCGTCTCCTTGCAGTCGGGCCTGTGGGGACCCTCGCTGAGCCCGAGAGGAAGCTGGCGTTGAAGAAGTACGGGGCTTGTAGCGAGCGATGGGCCGGGGGTCCAGCCCCGGTTGGCCCCAGAGCTTTGCCTCTGCTGTTCCTGAAGCACTCTGGGAGGCCTGGGACGGTGAGGGGAGGGGGACGTGCCCGTGCTCCAGCCCCAGCCCAGACAAGCACCCCAAAGTGTCTGCAAAGTCTGGCTTGGAACAATGAGCCAGAATGGGTGTTTGTGCCGCGTGTAATTTGGGTTTCTGAAGACCACTAAATGTGAACATTCTCCTGTTAATTACCATCTTGAATTCGGTCTGTAATGGAGGGAGCCGGAGCCGGAGAGCATGGAGGACCGTGCCAGAGGGCCTGCCCTAGTCAGTGCTTTCTGCCGCCTGCGCCCGCTTCAGGTGCCCACGGCCCTGTGCCTAGGCCACGGTGTTTGGTTTTTCCGAGAGGCTAAATGGAAAGGAGTTGCCGCTGTGTGTGGGGCGGGGGGGGGATCCCCAGCCGTGGTGTCTGCGTGTGCGCAGCTGTCTCCCGGTGGTGAGCCTGCGACAGGCTGGGACGTGCAGAGCTTGAGAGCAACCCAGGAAGCCTGCTGTGAGCTCGGTGCAGGGCTGGGGTCTCCCAGCTGGTGTGGAGGTGTTGGGGCAGGGAAGGAGTCAGAGTGAACTCTCGGCGTCCATCTTAGGGAGCCTTGGCCCCCACCAGCCCCCGAAGGGGCCCTGTGATGTGGGACGCCAGCCTTGGTCACCTTCAGCAGGGCAGGCCCTGGGCCCAGTGGCACGGGCTGGCCCTGCCGTCCCCTCAGCCCATGTCGGTGCCTGGTGGAGAACACCCTCGGGCAGTGACTCTGTACCCGCCTGGGCCTGTCCAGGCTGGCCCTCGAGGGAGCTCCTTCCTCCTGCCCACTTCCCTCGCGCCAGCCTCCTGCGCTGGAGAGAAGCAAACACGGTGCGGGGCTGCATCCTGGGGGAGGGCGGGCTGCTGCCTCTCTGGCCTGAGGAAACAGCTCTGCACAGCAAAGCTTTGGTGGCCCTGGAAGCTGGTGTGAGGCGGCCCCGGGAATGATTGGCCACACCTGCTGGGTGGGTGCGGGGTCTGTGCCCGCCTTGCGCTGTTTCCTTACGTTGGAGGATCAGGATCGCTGGCTGGGCCGTGTGTCATCGCTGGAGGTGCCTCTGACCTTCCTCAAGCGAGAAGCACTTGCCAGGGATTCGCGGCCTTAGGGGAAAGGACGCAGGCGGCTTGGGGCTGTGGTCTCCTCTTACTGCGCTGGGTGACCCCTGCTGTTAACACCCTCTGCTTCCGATGCTGTCCTTGCCCTGCACTGCCCCACTAGGGTGCAAACCTCTGGGGAGGGAGGTGGTCGGGGCCAGCACAGCACCCGTGTGGGCAAGGGCCAGGTCGGCATTGTAGGGCCCACCACAGGGAGGGCAGTGGTGAAGCCAGCACGGAGCTGAACCCCGGCTGTGCCTGCACCTCCCCAGCTCTCTGGCTCCCTGGCCACTGGGACGGGGGCCTAGGAGCCTGTCTCAGGCCACAGCGGGCCCTCGGGGAAGGTTGGACATCCGGCCTGAGCCCGAGGTGGATGCGGCAGCCTCTCTCCTCTCTCTGGTTGGCACAGTCTGCTTTGCCTTTCAGCCTGATTCGCACGGAGGGCGGTGCCGCCGCCCTGAGCCTCCCCGCCCATCTCCCACCGGCCCTCCCCGTGACCCACACTCCCTCTGCTGCAGGTTCTACTGGGACCTGACCATGCTGCTGCTGATGGTGGGGAACCTGATCATCATCCCCGTGGGCATCACCTTCTTCAAGGACGAGAACACCACGCCCTGGATCGTGTTCAACGTGGTGTCCGACACCTTCTTCCTCATCGACCTTGTCCTCAACTTCCGCACGGGCATTGTGGTGGAGGACAACACGGACATCATCCTGGACCCGCGGCGCATCAAGATGAAGTACCTGAAGAGCTGGTTCGTGGTGGACTTCGTGTCCTCCATCCCCGTGGACTACATCTTCCTCATCGTGGAGACGCGCATCGACTCCGAGGTCTACAAGACGGCCCGCGCCCTGCGCATCGTGCGCTTCACCAAGATCCTCAGCCTCCTGCGCCTGCTGCGGCTCTCACGGCTCATCCGCTACATCCACCAGTGGGAGGAGGTGAGCTGCCAGACCCAGCCCCTCAGGGAGACGGGCTGTTCCCCGCCCCCCACGGGCGACCTCAGAGGGTCGGACCTGGGCTTTGGGGTTGTCACAGGTACGCGTGCCCCGAGAGGCCAAGCATTCGTAATTTCTTGATCTTTTGTCATGTGTTAGAGGTTGCACCGGGAGACTCTCATGCAGTGCCGTGGAGTCTGTAGAACCCAGGGGGTGCCACGTAGATATGCCAAGACACCTGTCTATCACAGGGGGAAACCGCGACACAGCAAGATTGATGCCAGGTCACAGGTGAACCTGGAATGTGGAGCCTTCCCTGTTAACTACTGCAGGGTTTTGCGGTTTGTTTTTTTAAATACAGATTTTTATTTATTTACTTGAAAGAGTCCGAGAGAGAGAGAGAGAGAGAGAGAGAGAGAGAGAGAGAATCTCCTATCTGCTGGTTCACTCCCCAGGTGTCTGCAATAGACAGGACTGGGCCAGCCAGAAGCCAGGAGCTTCATCCGGGTCTCCCACACGGGTGGCAGGGGCCCATGCACTCGGGCCGTCCTCTGCTGCTTTTCCCAGGCCATGAGCAGGGAGCTGGATTGGAAGTGGAGCAGCCGGGACACCAACTGGCGCCCATAAAGCTACTGTGACGCCAGCGTGACCCACGTGGGGGCGGCGTCATGCTGGCATCACAGTCAGTAGCTTTGCCCACTGCACCGCAGCGCTGGCCCCTGCCGCGGGGTTTTGCAGGGTGCAGACTCCTAGCCTGCTGAGGCCAGGCAGGGACATGGATGCGTGAGGGGCAGTAGGAAGTGTACGGACCAGGGAGAACGGGAGATGTTTCTGTCCGTACGGGGCAGCCGCTGCCAGGCGCCAGCCAGGTGCTACCAGGCGGGAAGGAGCCTCGGGTTGCTACGTCTACAGATTGATCACACGCAGCAGAAATCTGGATTTCGGTTGGCAGTTGTAGGACGTTGGGTGTTTCTGGAGCAGACCCCGAGATAAGGATTTGCATGGAAGTGGTTTTCTGGGAGACCTAGAATGGGACAGGGGGAGGGGTGCGGGTGGGACGTCCAGGGGTGACTGTGGCCCATTCCACCGGGGAGCTCTGGGCAGCGCACGCCACGCCTGGGCATTGTCCAAGCCGGGGACAAGGAGCTGGCCTGCGCGTACCCTTCCCTGTCAGGCTGTGGCTCGGGAGCAGTTCCGGCCCAGCTGGCCCTGGGCTGAAGCAGTCGGATGACGGACACAAGGCTGCGGTTGTGCTCTGGTCTGTGCCTGCCTCTGACCCAAGTGACACAGTTTGTGGCAGTGGCCAGCAGGCCAGCGCAGGGCACCCAGGGTTGGGAGGTGCTCTTGGGGTGGACCCCTGGCATCCCAGGTGCTGTGGCTGGGGAGCGTGTGCCGAGCGATGCTTCTGGTGGCTGTACCGCTGGTCTCCTGCCCCCCTGAGCCCCCCTGCAAGACTGGACGGCAGCCTCACATCCGCCACCCCCCCCCCCCGGCAGCACCTCGGCTGACAGCCGGGGTCCTGGCAGATTCAGGTCAGAGGCGTCATGCGGGCACGTGCCCCAGAGAATGCCTGCACCCACGTGGCTGAGCCACTCTGCGGAGAAACTCTTTCTGGCTTGGAATTCTGCCTTATTCCTGCTGACGGGGCTGGGGACTTGCTCAAGGTCGCACAGTGGACCTCTGGCAGGACGGGGGCAGAGCCAGTCGGCTCTCGGGGCTCCTGGCCGCGTGGGTGTCCCCTGCCTGGCAGGCCGAGAGTTAGGAAAGGAGAGGCCCGTGAGTGCCCTGGCAGTGCCGCGGTGCTGGGGTGTGCTCTGGGCCCCAGAGGGCCGGGGCGATGCCAGCTGTGTCTGGGAAGCAGGCGGCGGGGAGTTGGGTGTGTGATGGGCTGCGTGTGGGATGTCTCCCGACAGGGGGCAGCACCCAGGAGGGTGGCTGGGCTGCTCCGAGGGGCCCTGGAGGAAGGGTGGAGGCCCACTTCCTGGAACACCCTGGCAGGTCGTCTCCTGGCTTCCGTCCCCGGCGGGCTCCTGGGACCCTGAGATACCCCAGCCTCTGTGCCTGGTTCTTCTCAAGCTTCGGTTCCTGTGGGGTGAAAGTGGGGGCGGGGAGGCGGTGACCCTGCTCCTCTGTAGGGCCTGGGGCCCGCAGGCCGCGGTGCCTGCTGGGAGTTGACGGAGTGGCCAGTGGCTGGGCAGGTGAGTCTGGGACCAGGCTAAGCTCTTCCTTGTGTGCCCACAGCACGCATCCTGGGAACCCAGGTCCAGGGCTGCTGCCCCACAGTCCCAGCCACCCACCCGCTGGGCTGTACCCAGGTCTGGTGAGGTGGGCTCTGGTCCTGGCCTTTCCTAGGCCCCTGGAGGCCTCTGGTCAGCCCTCTGAACTGGCTGCTGCTCCCGATCTCGTGGGCAGGAAGGGAGATCCCAGGAGGCCAGATGGACGGCGCCCCGCCCCGCTGCGTCCGCCCTTATCTCTCCTCCCAGCTGCCGAGGCAATCGCCGTGAGCTGGTTTCCGCCTGGCTCGCCGCCCCGCTGAGGGCTCCCATTGGACCCCTGGGATCAGCCGGGGCTGCCCATCTCTGTGTCCTGCACAGCCAGCCAGCTCACCCGGGCTCCTGCCGGCCGTGGCTTGGCCTGGAGGCCGCAGCCGGGAGACCCTGAATGAGACCCGGGAGGGGAGTCCGAGGCGGAGAAACCCTGCCCTCTCTCCTCCTGGGCGTCCCTTCCTTGGGCCCAGGGGTCCCCAGCGTGTGCTGATGCTCTCTGCGGCCGCGGCTCCCAGGGCTCCGGGTCTGGGCGGGGGTGGCGGCGGCCGCTCCTGGGGACACTGCTGTGCCCAGGGCTGGGGCGGGGGCTCTGGAGCTTGCCCAGTTCCCCTCTGCCCCGGCCCCGGGGGAGTTTCCTAAGTGTCGGGGCTGGTCATGGAGTGGTCCAGGGCAGGTGCAGGTGCGGGCAGCCGTCTCGGGGGATGCGGCCTCCGCCTCCCTCCTCCCTCCCTCCCTCCCTCCCAGGCGATCTAGGTCAGCCCTGTCCCTCCCTGGGAGGTGTGAGCTTGTTACAGGCACCGAGGCTATTGTTAGAAACGGGCGCTGGCCCCTTCAGATGTTCCCCTGCAGGGCCCAGGGCCACCCGACCCAGAGGCTTTTGTCCCCCCCTTCCCCCTCCCCCACCCCACTTCCATCCTGGACTGGCAGAAGGGAGGCCGGGGCGCCAGGGGCCCCTCCCATCTCTCAGACTCTGGCTGGGATGACAGACAAGAGGGTCCACGGGTCAGGCCTGGCCCTCTCCCGCCAGCCCCAGGGGCTCCCACCCAGGCAGTGCCCAGGACACACATGCCAGCCACTCTGACGTGCCCGGGGTTGCCATCCTGGATGTGGACACTTGTTCCCGGGATGCAGGAGCGAGGAAGGACTCAGCCGGGCCTGGGAGGGAAAGGAGCCAGCGTGAGCTGAGGCCCTACTGTGTGCCGGCTGCAGACGACACGTCGCCTGATTCCCAGCGCAGCCCTGGGAGCTGGCAGTGAGCGACCCACTCCACAGACAGGGAAGCTGAGGTTCAGGGCAGAGGAGGCCCGTGCCCGGGGCTGCTCGGTGTGGCCCCGCAGCTGAGAAGCTGCCCCCAAGTGCTAATGTGAGTGGCAGGGCACGGTGAGGCTCGCGATGGCCTGGAAATGACGGCGCTCACCTCCACCCCGCCCCATCAGCGCCAGCATTGTCAACCAGGTTTTAATGGTAGCTGGAGAGCAAGGCAAGTGTTTGCCTCGTGCGGGGACCTGCAGCCCGGTGCACGGTGCAGGCGCAGCCATGTCCAGCCTTGGCCCCTGCAGGCTGGAGCTGGCACTGCTGGACACTGGCAGCAGGGCGGTGGCCTCAGAGCCTAGGGCGCCCTCCCGGCCCGAATGGCGGTGCCCGGGACACGATCTTCCCAGGGACCTTTGACCCGTCCATCCGTCCATCCGTCGATCTGTCCACCCGTCTGCAGCAGCCGCCAGCTCCCTGGACGCCCGCGTCTGCATCCCGGGCTCTGGGTGGCCCTGGAGGAGGAGGCGGCTTCTGTGTTCCTGCCACCAAGGCACAGGTAGTTGCACCTCCGCTGTGCGCGCTGACAGGAGCCCCGCTGGCCACCAGCCCTGGTACCGGCACCGGCACCTCCGGCGTCTGTGTTATGCGCCTCTCATGTCCTTGGACTCTCCTCGCCATGGAGGTCATGATCCAGGCAGAGTCAGACCAAGGCTTGGTCTTGGGAGAAATTTCTTTGCAAAGAAAGCAATGCAAGCCGGCACCGCGGCTCACTAGGCTAATCCTCCGCCTAGTGGTGCCGGCACACCAGGTTCTAGTCTCGGTCGGGGTGCCGGATTCTGTCCCGGTTGCCCCTCTTCCAGGCCAGCTCTCTGCTGTGGCCAGGGAGTGCAGTGGAGGATGGCCCAAGTCCTTGGGCCCTGCACCCCATGGGAGACCAGGAGAAGCACCTGGCTCCTGCCATCGGATCAGCGCGGTGCGCCAGCCATGGCGACCATTGGAGAGTGAACCAACGGCAAAGGAAGACCTTTCTCTCTGTCTCTCTCTCTCACTGTCCACTCTGCCTGTCAAAAAAAAAAAAAAAACCAAAAACAAAAACAAAAAAAAAAACAAAAAACAACGCAGATGCCGTGAGAAGAGGCCACGGTGTTGCGTGGGGCTGGTGCTGCCCTCGGACCCGGAGCCTGTGGACGGGCACAGTGGCTGCGGCTGCCCGAGGCTCCCAGAAGCCCCTCTGCGGCGTCCGTTCGTCCCTGTTAGGCGGGGGTGCGTTCAGGCGGAGCCCCAGGTGCTGGCCTGCTGGGTGTGGAAGGACTCAGAAGGGGAGGCAGAGCGGTGCCCTGCACAGAGCCGTGTGCCCGAGCGACCCGGGGTGGGATCCTGGGCAGGGCAGCGGGGCACTCCACACCCAAGCGACATCAGAGCCGAGAGCGTTGAGCTTGGCTGTGGGCGGGGGTCCCTCCCTTGCCGTGGGCTCCCTGCTGGCGGGCGCTGATTTTGAGCCTGGCCTGCCGGCAGGTGGACAAAACATATTTTCTTGAACGACGTGTGGCCTGGGTTTACCACATCACATCTGCACACCCAGGGTCTGTGGAGCACGCGCTATGTCCTGGTGCGGCACACCGCAGTGTCGGGGCAGGCCTGCCCCCGGTGCCCAGCGAGAGGCGCGGGTGTCCCAGCCGCTCTCCCTCCTCGGGCAGGGGCTGTGTCCAGAGGCTGCGCCGAGAGCTGAGGCTCTTTAACCAGAGTGCCACGGGCTGGGTGGCGTACACCACAGCTGGGGGATCCCCACGGTTTGGAGGCTGGAGGATGGGTTCGGGGAGCCCCCCCTCCTGACTGGCAGGCATCTGTTCACGAGGGCCCAGCACCTCCCAGGGCCTCTTCTCCAAATAGCCGTGTGGCCGCCCTGGGCGCTCAGGCTTCCCCAGTGGGTTAGGGAGAGGCTCCTGGCAGCCCTGAGAGATAGACAGCACGGAGTGTGGCTGGCTTCGGCTAGTGAAGGTGCCGGGGCCGGGGAGATGAGGGCGGGTGCCATCGGTGGTCCCTGTCACCGGTCCGCTCCAATCCCCCGGGTGAGGAGCAGGTGGCCTCTTGGTTGGCCGGCACTCAGGAGGGCTGGACACACGCCCAAGGTCACAGAGCTGCCACTCTCACCAGGTGCCGGGGAGCAGAGGGACGCCTCTGGCAGCTTGGCGTCTGGGGACCTGCTGGGGGCAAAGGTGGGGGAGGGGAGCCGGGAGTTTCCTGGCAGGGGCCCCAGGCCCGGAGGCACTGCCAGCAGGGTCATGGCCCTGAGGTACCGGCTTGCTCGCAGATGGGACTCCCCCGGGGTCCGAGCCCCGCGCTGCCTTCTGGGCCACGGCAGTTACTGAGACGGGGAGCTGATCTGCAGACAGCCTGCAGGTGCCTCCTGCCTCCCTGGCTGTCAGAGGCGACCCTGGGGACGTCCCACCTGGCCCTGGGCCAGCCACTTCGGGTGTGATTTGTTCACAGAATGGAAGGACTGAAAACCAGGCTCCGAATCAGGCAGACCTGGGCCCACCACTGGCTTTCCCACTGTCCCTGGGATCCTGAGCCTGGGTGCACAGGGACTCACGGTCACAGTCACGGGCACGTCACAGAGGGTTCTGTGGTCTAAGCGAGAGGACAGCCCGCATGCAGCCGTGGTGTCGCTGTCCCTCCTGGGCGGGCTCTGGGGAAAGAGGGGATGAGCTCAGCTCCCAGGAAGGACCCAGGGCTTCTCAGCTGCAACACGCAGGGTCCACCTTCACAGGGGCTCAGGTGTGGGGGTGGCCGTGGGCTCCCCGGGACCTAGACCCGGGCTAAGGCCACTTTTCAGGAGGGAGGACTAGGTCACGAATGTCGGGGTGTCCTGCTCCCGACTGCAGGGGTCTGTCCCTTTGGGCCTTGCTTTCCCCAGCTGACGTGGGCTCACGGGGGAGGGGGCTCAGTGGCTTTTGACAAGCCCATAATTTGCACTCAGGAGAGAGGCCTGGGAGGCCAGGAGAAATATTTAGAATAGAATAGCTTGGAGGGATCAGACTGCGCTGAGCGGCTGGGGGTCCCCCAGGGCTGCCCAGGCCAGAGGTAGACTTGCGCCTGGCTCTCCACCCCCTCCTGCCCTTTCTTACCTGTCCCGGAAGCTTTGGCAGGAGCGGGGGGGGGGCGGGCTAGGACATCTGAGGTTGGAGACGGGCTGGGGGGTGTCTGCTGGGCGCTATTAAAGTAACAGCATGGCTGCCAACGTATCTTAACTAATCCTCAAGATGAATGATTCATAACAGCGTTATCAATTAATAATGGCTTGCAATTTCTTGAACACGTCTGCACCCAGTGCTAAGCACTTTACGCGTGCAATTGAATCGCTTTGAGAAGGCAGCCCACTCGAGTTAAGAATTCCGATCGCCCTTTTCCAAATGAGGAAACGTGATCAGAGAAGTTCAGACTTTCTCGAGGTTGCACAGCGAGGAGCAGGGTGGGAAGCAGGCTGGGAGAGAGGTCACGAGCCCATGGGCCTGCGGCTCCCTCTGCTGCAGTCCCGTGGGTCCTGTGACGAGCTTGGGGAAGCAGCGGGCACACCTGTGCCCACTCCTGGGCTGCATGGGGCTGCGGGTCCCCCTCCCCCCATCTGCATCCGCCTGGGCCCTGCAGCTGCAGCCTCCCTCCTGTGGCCTGGCCCGGTGGCCTCGTGCGCCGGGCGGACACGGTGCAGAGGGCGTGCAGCTGGGGGCTCGCAGGCCACCCACCTCGGGGTCCGCGTCCGCCTGTGCCGCAGATCTTCCACATGACCTACGACCTGGCGAGCGCCGTGGTGCGCATCGTGAACCTCATCGGCATGATGCTGCTGCTGTGCCACTGGGACGGCTGCCTGCAGTTCCTGGTGCCCATGCTGCAGGACTTCCCTGACGACTGCTGGGTGTCCCTCAACAACATGGTGGTGAGTGGCCGCTGCTGCGCCGGGCTCCGCCCACCCCACCCCACCCCACCCCACCCGCAGCTCTTGGCTGCGAGCTGTCACTGCCACCATGTGACAGCCCGCACGGCAGCTGGGTGCCCCTGGTGTCCCCCCACCCCCCGACACACACCAAGGAGATGAAGATCCACACTGAGCCTGGGTCGTACAGGGGTGGCAGGGCTGGGCTGGCAGCCGCCGTGTCCCTGGGAGCCCGTCAGAGGCGGCCAGCCCGCTGGGGCACCGTGAGCAGCTGCGTCAGGGCCAGCCACAGCGCCCCGCGCATGGTGGAGTCCTGAGCAGGAAGGGAGGGGCGGGCAGCAGGGAGGGCTCAGGGCCGGAGCCCTGGGCAGAGCTTCCCCGACCTGCTCGGGACAGGGTAGGCTCAGCATCTCCGGACTTGTGGGTCCCGACTGGGCTCCAGCCAACCCCTGCCTCTCGCCAGCCAGTTTGGTTTGGTCCGAGGCAAAGCCCCAGGGCCCCAGGAAGGAAAAATCCACTTCGAGGGAGGTGGAAAAGACCTTGAAGCAGCTCCGAACATCAGGCAGACCCTGAAGTGCAGCCAGGAGAAGGCCGCCTGCGTCGCCCCTGCCTCACCCGAGGCAGAGCCCTGCTCGGGTGCCCTGTTCCCCGAGCCCCTTCCACCCCAGGGGATCAGCCCCACAGCCCGCACCCTAGGCAGGACTGAGCCGCCAGAGCCCAGGGACTGGCTCAGCTCCGGCCAGCATGGCCTCCGGCTCGGTGACCTTGAACAGGACACGTGCCTGGCAGGCTCCTGTGCCTTTCTGTGGGTGCTGCTGGGAGCATCCTGGTGCCCACTGAGTGCTGGGGCTATGGGCGGGGCTCCAGGGAGACGCTGGGGGGAGGGGGACGTGCTCACCTGGCGCCCCCGCATTTGGGGCAGAATTCAAGAGAGGGCTCTTCTGACCCCAGTGTTTCTTCACTGAGACCAGCCGGTGGGGGAGGGGGCTCACTCTCCACCTGCTGCCCTATGCCACGCACTCCAGAGTCCACCTGCGGGGTGGGGCGGGGCTGGAACCAGAGGCTGCAGCCCTGGCTGGGCGGGCTCGGGCGGGGTTCACGGGGGAGCCCAGTTGGCGGCTTCAGCGCCGCTCACCCAAACGAGGGCAGCATTTCAGCTCAGCTCTGCTAGAGCTCGTCCCCCCGGGGGACGCGCTGCTGGGCTCATGATTGAGGTCAGTGGGGAAATGGGCTCTAGCTGGCAGCTGTTTAGGGGCCTGGGGGACCCAGTGGCTCAGCCTGGGCCCAGCTGCTGGGCTCCAGGCTGCAAGGGGTCAGAGCTGGGCTGGGCCGGCTCCCCGCCCTTCGCTGGGGCTTCCTGATCCCTGCACCCCACTGCAAGACGGAGGCCTAAATGGAGATCCTTTGTGCCCGGGGGTGCCCACGCAGGCCTCGCTGCCTCACAGCAAGGCCGGGGAGCCTCAGGGAAGCGTTAGGGACCTCCGCAGGGCTCCCCCGTCATCGGTGGCCCACCCATGCGTCTGCCCACAGAACAACTCCTGGGGGAAGCAGTACTCCTACGCGCTCTTCAAGGCCATGAGCCACATGCTGTGCATCGGCTACGGGCGGCAGGCGCCCATGGGCATGTCCGACGTGTGGCTCACCATGCTCAGCATGATTGTGGGCGCCACCTGCTACGCCATGTTCATCGGCCACGCCACCGCGCTCATCCAGTCCCTGGACTCCTCCCGGCGCCAGTACCAGGAGAAGGTAGGTTGCGCGGAGCCGTGGTCCACTGGCTTTCTCTGGGCGGGGAGCGGGACCTGCTCCAGGGGGTCCAGGGTGCGAGGGGCACTCAGTGGGGGAGCTGAGAACAGCTCGCCCCACCTGACGCCCATCACCGTCTTTCTCTCCGGTGTGCGGCCTGTCTCTCCCTGTGCCTTCCACAGGGCCAGGTCTGGCCTGTCCTCTTTGGCGACAGCCCCTCCCCCTTGGTTTTCCTCTTAGCCCCCGGCCGTCCTCGCTGTGCTGTGCCAGCTTCTCATCCCAGCCGTGACACTCGGGTCCTTGGTGGCAGGCGGGGCCTGAGCTCTCCCGTGTTGTCTCGCATGTCCTCTGGGCGTTTCTGTATTACCAGCCCAGCCCCCAGCCCCCCAGCCCCGTGCCTGTCTCTGCAGCGAGGCCCTAGCTAGAGCCGGGCATCTCCACATGCTGGCCATTTGATGCCTCCCTGGCCACGGCAGCCTCGTGGCGTTGGTGTCTGTGGGCACCTTGTTCTCTGCCCTGGCTCCAAACCGTCTCGTCAGTGGCCACCTCTGCCATTACTGCCCGCGTCCGAATGGCAGCTCCTTCTGCAGCCTGGCCAGTTTCTCGCCCTCCCGGGTCACGGCACGGCTTCCCCCGGGAGCCCAGACGCCATCTCTGCCGTTACTGCGTGCACAGCAGGAGGGTGACACTGAAAGACAAAGCGGCCGGCATTGCCTCTTCAGAGTGCCTGCTTCACCTGGCAGCTGCACGTGGACGGGCTCCTGGGGAGTCTCCGCCTGCCCCGCCTCGGGCCCCGGCTGTGGCTCGGGCCCTGGCCCCTTGTTCCAGGCTGCCCGTTCCCCCTGCCTTGGGCTCTCCCCGGAGCTCTGCTCCTCTTTCTGCCTGGCACCGTCTGCAGTCTGCCTGAACCTCACCTCCTGGATGAGGCTCTGTGACTCAGCTGCCCCCTCCCAGCCGACACGGCCCCGCGGCTCCCCCTGCTTCTCCTCACGCGCCGGCACGCCCGTGACAGCTGGCTCACACGCAGCCGTCGGCGCCGGCAGGTCAGGGGCAGGAGCGGCCCCCAGTGTTGACGCACTGCCTGCCTGCCCACGGCTGCCTCTCCGGGGTGGGCAGAGGAGCAGGCAGAGCGGGGGGGAGGGGGGTGGGTGGAGGAGCAGGCAGAGGGGGGGGGGGGGGGGAGGGCTCACTTGGGGAGGAAAGGGTTTCTGGGCCAGTGACGACCGAGGGCAGCCAGGAATGAGCCTGTGTAGGACGCAGGGAGTGGCTGGGAAGGAGAGGGGAAGGGGCGGGGTGGAAGGTCAGGGCTTAGCCCAGCCCAAAGTTAGGGTCAGCCAGGGCCAGCCTCAGGGCTCAGCCTGGAACCCGGAGCAGGGCTGATCAGGGCTCAGTGTGTGAGACAGGATCAGGGCTCAGCATGAACCAGGGCCAGGGCCCAGTGTGTGAGACCAGGGTCAGGGCCAGGGCCCAGTGTGTGTGAGACAGGATCAGGGCCAGGGCCCAGTGTGTGAGACCAGGGTCAGGGCCAGGGCCCAGTGTGTGAGACCAGGGTCAGGGCCAGGGCCCAGTGTGTGAGACCAGGGTCAGGGCCAGGGCCCAGTGTGTGAGACAGGATCAGGGCTCAGCATGAACCAGGGCCAGGGCCCAGTGTGTGAGACAGGATCAGGGCTCAGCATGTAACCAGGGCCAGGGCCCAGTGTGTGAGACAGGATCAGGGCCAGGGCCCAGTGTGTGAGACAGGATCAGGGCTCAGCATGTAACCAGGGCCAGGGCCCAGTGTGTGAGACAGGATCAGGGCCAGGGCCCAGTGTGTGACAGGATCAGGGCTCAGCATAAACCAGGGCCAGGGCCCAGTGTGTGAGACAGGATCAGGGCTCAGCATGTAACCAGGGCCAGGGCCCAGTGTGTGAGACCAGGGTCAGGGCCAGGGCCCAGTGTGTGAGACCAGGATCAGGGCCAGGGCCCAGTGTGTGAGACCAGGGTCAGGGCCAGGGCCCAGTGTGTGTGAGACAGGATCAGGGCTCAGCATGTAAGCAGGGCCAGGGCCCAGTGTGTGAGACCAGGGTCAGGGCCAGGGCCCAGTGTGTGAGACCAGGGTCAGGGCCAGGGCCCAGTGTGTGTGAGACAGGATCAGGGCCAGGGCCCAGTGTGTGAGACCAGGGTCAGGGCCAGGGCCCAGTGTGTGAGACCAGGGTCAGGGCCAGGGCCCAGTGTGTGAGACCAGGGTCAGGGCCAGGGCCCAGTGTGTGAGACAGGATCAGGGCTCAGCATGAACCAGGGCCAGGGCCCAGTGTGTGAGACCAGGGTCAGGGCCAGGGCCCAGTGTGTGTGAGACAGGATCAGGGCCAGGGCCCAGTGTGTGAGACCAGGGTCAGGGCCAGGGCCCAGTGTGTGAGACCAGGGTCAGGGCCAGGGCCCAGTGTGTGAGACCAGGGTCAGGGCCAGGGCCCAGTGTGTAAGACCAGGATCAGGGCCAGGGCCCAGTGTGTGAGACAGGATCAGGGCTCAGCATGTAACCAGGGCCAGGGCCCAGTGTGTGAGACAGGATCAGGGCTCAGCATGTAACCAGGGCCAGGGCCCAGTGTGTGAGACAGGATCAGGGCCAGGGCCCAGTGTGTGAGACAGGATCAGGGCTCAGCATGTAACCAGGGCCAGGGCCCAGTGTGTGAGACAGGATCAGGGCCAGGGCCCAGTGTGTGACAGGATCAGGGCTCAGCATAAACCAGGGCCAGGGCCCAGTGTGTGAGACAGGATCAGGGCTCAGCATGTAACCAGGGCCAGGGCCCAGTGTGTGAGACAGGATCAGGGCTCAGCATGAACCAGGGCCAGGGCCCAGTGTGTGAGACAGGATCAGGGCTCAGCATGAACCAGGGCCAGGGCCCAGTGTGTGAGACAGGATCAGGGCTCAGCTGCTTGTGACCCCTCCTCGTTTGTCCTTTGGCTGGTAGCTCCCTCAGTCTCCCTCCAGGTCTCTTCCATGTCTGGCTTAAAGAGGCTGCCCTGGTTCCGACCGCCGACGGGGGCGTAGGGACCCCCTTACTTGCACGTGGGACAGAGCTGGGTCACTGCCTCATCTTCACCTCCCCTCCCCAGGCACCACCGCAGTCCAGGGACAGTTGGGGTGAGGGTGACTTATAGACAAATCTCTGGTGCCCAAGCCTCCGCTGGGAGGTCCCGGCTCCAGCCTGCTTCTCCGCTGGGCTGGAGTTGCCCTCAGCGAAAGGGTCTCCACTGAGGCCAGGGCGGGGGACAAACATGGGAGGAGTCAGGCAGCCCCCAGTGCCCTGAGCCGTCGCAGCCCAGTCCTGCCAGCCTGGGGAGACCGTGCCTCCCCTCCAAAGCCTGTGAGGTCACCCCATCCCCCAGCCCCCGCCGAGGGCCCAGAGAGACTGGAGTGGCCTCCTGGGTAGCTCGTGTGTGTGTGTGTGTGTGTGTGTGTGTAATGGGACAGTCCCCATTGCCCCACCATCTCCGTGTGGCTGGAGGGTGGCTGGAGTCAGGCACAGGGCGATCTCACCATACCTCGCACACCAAGGGCCTCAACTCTCGAGGGACCGCGTTCGGCCAGGCAGGGCCACGGCGCCTGCGCCCCGCGGGGTGGCCGGCTGCCGGAAGTGACGGCGCCCCTCTCCCCGGCCCCAGTACAAGCAGGTGGAGCAGTACATGTCCTTCCACAAGCTCCCGCCCGACACCCGCCAGCGCATCCACGACTACTACGAGCACCGGTACCAGGGCAAGATGTTTGACGAGGAGAGCATCCTGGGCGAGCTGAGCGAGCCGCTGCGGGAGGTGTGCTGGGGGGCGGCGGCCGGGGCGGTGTGCTGGGGGGCGGCGGCCGGGGCGGTGTGCTGCGGGGCGGCGGCCGGGGCGGCGGGGCGGCGGGGCGGCGGGAGGTGTGCTGCGGGAGGTGTGCTGGGGGGCGGCGGCCGGGGCGGTGTGCTGCGGGGCGGCGGCGGGGCGGCAGGCCGGCGGGCCGGCACTCCGGCACTCCCTCACCTCCTCGCCCTCCTCCTGCCCCGGGAGCAGGAGATCATCAACTTCAACTGCCGCAAGCTGGTGGCCTCCATGCCGCTGTTCGCCAACGCCGACCCCAACTTCGTGACGTCCATGCTGACCAAGCTGCGCTTCGAGGTCTTCCAGCCCGGGGACTACATCATCCGCGAGGGCACCATCGGCAAGAAGATGTACTTCATCCAGCACGGCGTGGTCAGCGTGCTCACCAAGGGCAACAAGGAGACCAAGCTGGCCGACGGCTCCTACTTCGGAGGTGAGGCGAGCTGGGGCCCCCGGGGGACGGGGGTGGGCAGGGAGGACAGAGGCACGCGCTGCTATGACCAACCCTGTTCCACCTCGTGCCATCTCACGTGGGGGAGGGGAGCAGGCCAAGCCTCCTGGCCTTTATTTTTTTTTTTATTTTTTATTTATTTTTTTTTTTTGACAGGCAGAGTGGACAGTGAGAGAGAGAGACAGAGAGAAAGGTCTTCCTTTGCCGTTGGTTCACCCTCCAATGGCCGCCGCGGCCGGCGCGCTGCGGCCGGCGCACCGCGCTGATCCGATGGCAGGAGCCAGGAGCCAGGTGCTTTTCCTGGTCTCCCATGGGGTGCAGGGCCCAAGCACCTGGGCCATCCTCCACTGCACTCCCTGGCCACAGCAGAGGGCTGGCCTGGAAGAGGGGCAACCGGGACAGAATCCGGCGCCCCGACCGGGACTAGAACCCGGTGTGCTGGCGCCGCTAGGCGGAGGATTAGCCTAGTGAGCTGCGGCGCCGGCCCCTCCTGGCCTTTATTTATTTATTTATTTCCCTGAAAGGTAGAGAGACAGATGTTGTTGGTTCATGCCTTGAATGCCCTCAACAGCTGGGGAGTAGGGGCCACGTTGAAGCCAGGAAGCTGGGGACTCCATCCTGGTCTCCCATCTGGGTGGCAGGGACCAAAGCACTTGTGCCATTACCTGCCACCTTCCCCGGGCGCGTTAGGAGGAAACTGGGACTTGAACCCAAGCACTCCAATATGGGATGTACGACACCGCCTCCCTTCCCCCCCCCCCAAGGGCAACTCATGGCATTCATGTTAGGGAGTTAATGTCACATATGACAGGGCAGAGAGCGCGCCTCAGAGCATCCTTTTGCTGTGGGAGGGGGTGACATCCAGTGTGGTCAGGGCCTGGCAGGTGGGGGCCTTGCAGGGCGTGGGGCCCGCGGTCAGGCAGTGCCCACCTCCCGTCCCCCCGGCAGAGATCTGCCTGCTGACCCGGGGCCGGCGCACGGCCAGCGTGCGGGCCGACACCTACTGCCGCCTCTACTCGCTGAGCGTGGACAACTTCAACGAGGTGCTGGAGGAGTACCCCATGATGCGGCGCGCCTTCGAGACGGTGGCGCTGGACCGGCTGGACCGCATCGGTGAGGGCGCGCGGGGGCGGGGCGCGGGGGCGGGCGGGGGCGGGGGCTCTCGCCCCTCCCCTCCAGCCTCCCGGCTCGGGCCTGAGCACCTGCTCTGTCGTCCAGGCAAGAAGAACTCGATCCTCCTGCACAAGGTGCAGCACGACCTGAGCTCGGGGGTCTCCAACTACCAGGAGAACGCCATCGTGCAGCGCATTGTGCAGCACGACCGGGAGATGGCGCACTGCGCCCGCCGCGCCCAGGCCACCACGCCCGTCGCGCCGGCCATCTGGACCCCGCTGATCCAGGCGCCACTGCAGGCAGCTGCCGCCACCACGTCAGTGGCCATCGCGCTCACCCACCACCCTCGCCTGCCCGCGGCCATCTTCCGCCCGCCGCCCGGGCCCACCACGCTCGGCTCGCTGGGCGCCGGGCAGACGCCGAGGCACCTGCGGCGCCTGCAGTCGCTGGCGCCGTCGGCGCCCAGCCCGGCCTCTCCAGCCAGCAGCCCGTCGCAGCCGGACACGCCGTCCTCCGCCTCCCTGCACGTCCAGCCGCTGCCCGGCTGCTCCACGCCCGCTGGGCTCGGCTCCCTCCTGCCCACGGCCGGCTCGCCCCCGGCCCCCACACCCCCCACCACCGCTGGCGCCGCCGGCTTCAGCCACTTCCACCGGGCGCTGGGCGGCTCCCTGTCCTCGTCCGACTCGCCCCTGCTCACCCCGATGCAGCCCGCTGCCCGCTCCCCGCAGCAGCCTCCCCCGCCGCCCGGGGCCCCGGCGGGCCTGGGCCTCCTGGAGCACTTTCTGCCGCCTCCGGCCCGCTCCCCGACGTCCAGCCCGGGGCAGCTGGGCCAGCCCCCCGGGGAGCTGTCCCCAGGCCTGGGCTCCGGGCCTCCGGGCACGCCAGAGACGCCCCCGCGGCAGCCTGAGCGACTGCCCTTCGCGGCGGGGGCCTCTGCGGGGGCTTCCCCGGTGGCCTTCAGCCCCCGAGGCGGCCCCAGCCCCCCCGGCCACAGCCCGGGCACCCCAAGAACTTTCCCCAGCGCGCCGCCCCGGGCCTCGGGCTCGCACGGGTCCCTGCTGCTGCCGCCGGCGTCCAGCCCGCCGCCGCCGCCGCCGCCGCCCGCCCCGCAGCGCCGCGCCACGCCGCCGCTGGCCCCCGGCCGCCTCTCGCAGGACCTCAAGCTCATCTCGGCCTCGCAGCCGGCGCTGCCCCAGGACGGGGCGCAGACTCTCCGCAGAGCCTCCCCGCACTCGTCCTCGGGGGAGTCGGTGGCCGCCCTGCCGCCCTTCCCCAGGGCCCCCGGGAGGCCCCCAGGCGCCGGCCCCGGCCAGCACGTCACCCTCACTCTGCCTCGGAAGGCATCCTCAGGGTCTCTGCCGCCCCCTCTTTCTTTGTTCGGGCCGCGAGCCGCCTCTGCCGGGGGACCCCGGCTGACTGCGGCACCCCAGAGGGAACCAGGGGCCAAGTCTGAGCCAGTGCGCTCCAAACTGCCGTCCAACCTGTGAGCCAGGCCTCCCTCGCTGTCCTGTCGTCTTGTTTCTCCCTGCCTTCAGGTTTGACTGTGATTAGGAGATACACCAACAATAACCGCTACCATTGCCACACACACACACACACACACACACACACACACACACACACCCCAGAAAGCCCAAGTCAGCAGAAATAACCAGGTATTCCTAGAGCTATAGATTTTTGGTCACTCGCTTTTATAGACTATTTTAATACTCAGCACTAGGGGCAGGGGAGCAGGCAGGGCCCAAACAAAAGAGGCAGAGGAAGGCAGCTGGGGTCCCCGGGGCGGGGCGGGGCGGCCGAGTTTGGGGGTGCGGGAGCAGACCTGCCATTGTATCCGTTTTAGGGCAGCAGCTTCCATCAGTCCCCTAGCTGTGAACTTGCAGCCCCACTCCGCCAGGGCTCATTTCCTGTCCCCAGCCCCGGTGTGGTCCTGGGGGGCCTCAGACTCCCAGGACAAGAAGGGGCCGGGCCTGAGGGCCTGGTGTTTTTCTACTGCAATTGTAGCGAGATATGTATATGACTATGTATACGTACATGTATGTAAGATGTGTATATGTATAGCTATGTAGCGCTCTGTAGAGCCATGTAGATAGCGACTCACATGTGCACACACGTGTGTGCGATCTAGCCGTCATCCCCATGTCGCCACCCCCCACCCTCGCCTGGCCCCTAGGCTGGGTGCTGCAGGCTCTGGGGTCCTCAGGGAAGAGAGGGCCCCCGAGACCTCGTAGCAGGACCCCGTCCCCGTCTCTGGGCTCAAATGCAGTCCCGGCCTCACCTCTCAGCGCGTGGAAGCCGAAGACTCTGGGCTGTGCCTCCTGCACCAGGGCCTCAGCACCCCATACCCTCTGGGGTCTGCTGGGAGCTGGCGCTGGTTTCCCACGTCTCCACCTTAACCCCTGATTCCCTGGGAGCCTACTTCACAGCTGAGGAAGCTAATGCGGGGTGATTTTCCCAGCATTCCGTAACTAGGAGTTCTGAGCTGGAAGTCCCATTCATACCTGCCTGAGGCTGGGGCCTATGTCCCTTCGGTCCCCCAACTGTCGGCAGGGGGTTGAGTGAGGCAGTCCCCAGGCATGAGGGAGCGGGGAGAAGCCAGGTTTGGGCGATAATCAGGTCTGGGTCCAAATCCAAGCCCTGCCAGCTGCTTAGCTGTGTGACCCTGGACAAGTTCTCCGAACTTTCCAAGTCTTACCTCATCCAAGGTGAAAATCATCGTCTGGTCTCCTCCCCAGGACCTCTGAGGCCCAGGTAAGAGCACCTGGCACACACAGCAGGTGCTTAGTAAACCCCCTTTCTCTGTCCCCTCCGCGTGTGCCAGCCCCTTGCTCCAGCGAGCTGTGGGCGGCCCGAGGGGCTTTGGCCCAAGCTCCAAGACTTAAAAATCTCAGGACTCAGAAGGTGGCTGGGTCTCCCCAAGGACCCGAGGGACGTGTGTGACACAGTGGGCTTTGTGCCAGGCCTGGAGATGGGGGAGAGGCAGAGGGAGTGGTTGGAGGACGGGGTGGTGGGTGGGACGGAGCGGGCAGTGGGGGAGCTGTAGTGGACTGGGGTTTTGTGGGGAGCTCCACCGACCTGGGGGTCAGCGGGAAGGCCTCATGACATGCTGGGCTTGTTTACGGAGACAAGAGGGAGCCACAGCAAGCTCCAGGGTGCGGACAGTGAGGCTGCGCCCTCTTCCAGCAGGATTCTGCCTGCCTCCTCCAGGGTGGGAGCAGGTGTGGCTGCGAGACCCAGAATAGGAGGGCTGGTCTCCTCCATCCAGAGCCCAGAGCCAGAGTGTGGACACGGTCAGGCTTGGCTGGCAGCTGTCCCGGGATGTGGATCGGCCAGGCTGCTCCACGGAGGGGCTTGTAAGGTTGGGGTGGGGAGCAATAATCCAGCAAAGAAGGGGGTGAAGGACCCCAGAAGCCCCCTTGGTCTCACCCGTGCTGGAGAAGCCCCTTGGCCCAGGGGTCAGAACAGGAGATACTGCAGCGGCCCCTCTGGTTTTGCACACCCTGCCCTGCGTGGACAGGGGCTCAGGGAGGCAGCAGGGCTCAGCCCAGACCCACCTGCTGGTCTCGGCAGGGGTGTGGGCATAGAGCAAGGAGCCCCCTTGCCACGCCACGGCCCCTTATCCAGGCACACACGCATTTTGTAGGAGCTCTGACCGAGCCCAGCCCCTCACTGGGTTCTCCCAATCCCAGTCCCCTCCCCCCCACAAGCAATTTTCAAAATCTTCCACTTTTAAAACAGAAAACGGTAACTGCGCGTGTTGTATATTTTATTTAAATAAAAAAAAATTCCAGCAGAGGTTGCCTTCTTCCGGGGACCAGGGGTCAGGGTGAGGCCGCGAGGAGCGTCAGGTCAGCCCCTGCAGCCCGTTTCTGAACCCGTGTTCGCCCAGCTGTGGGTGCCAGGTGTGTGTCTGCTTCTGGGAGGGCGAGTTCCACTGGAGAGGGTGACAGTGAGGGTCCCAGAAGGAGGAGGCAGGAACAACCAGCACACGAACACCACGCGGCCGGAAGCAGGAGAGGCAGGCGGGCTTCGGCAGCAAGCCAGTAGCTGGGGACACAGATGACCAGGCTGGGGAGGCCTGCAGCGGTGTGATGGCGGCTCCGGGCTCAGCATGGTCAGGCAATCTGAGGGCTGGCGCAGCCCAGACTCGCTGCAGAGAGATGACGGGGGCTCCAGGCCTGGCTGCAGACGGCCCCTGTGCTACTTCTGCTTGCACAGTGTCTGCTCTCAGAACCCTGCCAGCCCTAGGGTCCCTCGCAGGTCCTGGGGACCCCTCCCCCGACAGGCTCTGAGACACGCCCCTCCCCCAGGCCCTAGGACCTCGGCAGTCCCCACGCTGGAGCGTATCACCACACAGGGGAGTTCTCGGTAAAGGTGGGGAACCCTTCCCTGTGCTGTTCCCTGCTGTTTCCATAGCAACTTGTCTGGGATTCCCCGGTACTCAGGGAGGACATGCGTCTCCATGACAACACCCCCCCCCGGGTCCTTAGGGAGCCAGTGCTGCCCCAGTCGCTGCCCTTGCCTTCCCCACCCCCATGAGGGCCCTGAGTCGGCACCTGCTGTAGTGTCCACATCGCACCCTCCACTCTGTGGAGCCTCCATCGGTGACCCGCAGGGCACGGGGACAGCATCACGGCCGCAGGCAGCAGGTGCTCCCCGGGCCCCTCCATGGGCTCGGCTGGGACGGCCAGGGGTGGGGGCACAACTTACAGGGATGCGGGGTGTGCAGTCCGGGGGACTCCCCGCAGGGGTTAGGGGGCAGAAAGGACTACGTGTGTCCTGGGTTTGTCTTCCCGTGTCCTGCTGATTGTAGTAAAAGCTGTGACTGCCCTGCCTCCCCCTGCCCCAGTGGCACTCAAGCCTCTGGCCAAGGGACATCTGCCACGCTGAAGGTGGTGTGGGACATGTCTGCCTTCCTGGCACCAGACTGGACATTTGTTTAAGAGAAAACCCCTCTCTTCTTGGCCGCTACCCCTCCCCTGTTCAGCTCACTTCTGTCCCTGGGTCACTTCTGCCCCCTGTAGTCCGTCTTCCTCTTCTAACAGCCCAGGACCAGGTCTTCGTGGCTGGAGTGGGTCCGGGGTCTGCCCTTTGTGGGGAGCAACTGGGAGCAACTCGGACTAGACTAAGTTACTGGAATTAAGACTTATTCTATGCATCTGCTCTCCCACAATATGGCGCTGGGAGAGGAGGAAACAGCTTCTACACAGCTGCCTCCAGTTCAACCAATAAGCAGCAGGACCTGCTCCTGATTGGAGGAGAGCAGCGTATTCGGCGTGTGGGTAGCAGAGTTGGGATTGGTGGAAGAGGACTATAAAGGAGGAGAGAGACTGCATGCACCAGGAACATCTATCTGAAGGAACACCTGTGCAGCCCCCGAGAGAGCCGGCCGGCGGTGTGCCGCTCCCCCGCGGAAGTGGGGAAAGTGGCAGGGGGAACCACCCTTCCACGGAGGTGGAAGGGATGGTAGCCAACCCAGGAAGAACCAGCAGCAAACCCGGGGAGGGCCGAGCAGACAAAAGAACAGCGCAGGGTTCAGTGTCGCTCCTCCACGAAGAGGGGGAGCGACATAATGGTGCCGTGACTCGGATAGGAAACCTAGGAGGGAAGAAGCGGGAAGAAGTGGGAAAATACTGGAGAGAGAGACTAGCAAAGAGCCTAGGGAAAAGCCGGACGGAAAAGGTGCCGGAAGAAGCTATTGAAAGCCTAGGCATAGACTCGGATACGGACTGTGGGAAAGAAGTTAGGATTTAAAGTGAAAGCAAGAAGAAACTTAGACTCAGATACGGACTTCAGGTTGAAAGTGAAAGTGAAACCTAGAAGAAACTTAGACTCGGATACGGACTGTGGGGAGAAGCCAGGAGAAATGAGAGGGGAATATAGTTGGAAGAAAAGTTAGGAAACATACCGGGTAGAGAAAAATATGTTAGGGAGGATGAAGCCGCGGGGGCAGGCCAAGGCAGAGACGTAAGCTATCTTGGAATTCTTCAAGTCAGCCCGTGGAGCAAAAGGCGAAAATCTGGAACCAGAGGCAGAGACGTGGGCCGCCAGGTTGGAATCCGTCAGATTAGCCCGAGGAGCAAAAGATGGGAAGCCAAACCGAAAGGCGCAGACGTGAGCCAGGTTGAATTCGCCAGGTTAGCCCGGGAACTTAGACTGAATGCCAGTGGCGGAAACTTGAGCTAGGCTGTGTGACTCGCGGAAGCTGCTGCGCGCAGAGAGAGCGCGCGGGGCGCGAATAGATAGGGAACGTGGGGCTAGCGCGAAGGCCATGGTGCGGGCGTGAAGGGCGCAGAGACCGCGGAGTGCGCGGGAAGCTGCCGCAGGGCGGGCGCCGGGAAGCCACGCAGAGCCGAGAAGCCGAGAAGCCGCCGCGGGGCGAGGTGCCGAAAAGCAGCCTCGGGGCGGGCGCCGGGAAGCCGCGGGGATAAGAGAAACAGAAGTTTAGAAGTAAAATGAGAGAAATAGGAATGCTGGCAGATAGAAGTAAAATAGGAGAAATAGGAATGCCCGGAGATAGAGAAATAGAGAAAAATAAGGCCTCCCCACAACACGGCAATGAGAGAGCTTGG